TTTTGTTGTTGCCTTTCTTCAGGCTGGATTGCAGTGACAGCTCAGTCACAGGATAAAATTAGGCTTCGGGCCTACACTCCTGCAGGAATTGGTTTAACAGTTGAAAAGCCTCCCCTTCTACCATTCATTATCAATGTTAAAGGAGAACGAATAAGAAAATCCCCAGCCTATAAACTTAAAAAGCTACAACCTATTGTGGAAAATCTGCGACCATTACCTCAAAAACATGGCCTGCTCAAAGAATGGAAACATGCAGGATATTTGTAAAGGTCATTATCCCAGGGTTTGTAAATAAATTACTGTCTGCTAAGTCCTATTGTGTAAATTATTTTTTGGCTATGATTTTACAAGGAAGGGCTGCTTAGTAATCACTGTCACCTTTAATTCTCTTAATGGAGTATTTACTAATTTTCAAGATGTGATTTTTCCGTGCAATCATACCTGAAAAGAAGTATTTTTTAGTTGTGCAATCTGACAGTATTGCGAATAAATATATGCACCAAATCTCTAAGACATTTAACTCCCTGACAAATTTATAATGCCATGTGCTGAGTTTGTACAAGTTACTACAAGACTAGCATCCTGTTTTGATTCTTTTGTTTCCATAATAAGAGAATCATATTTGCTTTTAATTTGTGTATATGTAACTTGCATTGACATGTGGTTTGTAAATTATGTATATAATGAAATTTGTATGCCACGGCTACAGTTACCTCGACTGTAAGTAAACCTGATGACTTTTTTCTGTTCTGTGTTTTTGTTTGATTACTAGCATTGCCTGAACAACTATTTCTTGTACTTGTACTTTATAAATGTGAATTGTTGTGACAAAGACTTGTTTGGGCTGTTCTCGCAACTTTGTCAGTGCAACAGCTGTGAGCAACAAATCACCAATGGGAAATGGTGAGCAAATCCGTACCTTTGTACCTAAAATAACGACATGGTGCATAGAAGAGACCATTCAGTCTGGTACTTGAGCTATTTCTTTGGGTGATCTATTCATTTCATTTCACTACTTCCTTTTTGCTTATAATCAATTCCTTTTTCAGGTATTTACCCAAATCCATTCAACTTTGCTTCTAAATCTGCTTCAGCCATCCTTTTCAAGCAATGCGTTCCAGATCATCGTAACTTGTTGCACAATTTTTTTTTTTTTGCCATGTCACTTCTGGTTCTTTACCCAATCACACTAAATCCACAGGTTACCCAACCCTATGTCTCTGGAAAGTTTCTCATTTATTATAGATATTTTTAATCAACCTGTCCAAATACGTTACGGCATATGAAATGAAACTTGAACCCAGTTCCTGGCTTAGAGGTAGGACCATCACTGCACCACAGGAGCCTGATTATGCCATACTATCAAGCATTAATGATTTTAAACACCTGTTAAAGCACTTGATATCCTTTTATTGAGTCCCTAACTGGACAATTTCCAGTTACTAATCTGTAACTTTTGTACTTTGTTTGTTTGTAATTTAACTGGCTTGAGGTATACTTTTTGTAATAATTTTTCTAATGTCCCTTAATATCTTTTGACTCTTGAACTTCAGCATCCTTTTATAGTGCTGTAATTGTTCCTTTTTCAATACTACCAAGCTCCATGTTTATTTCTGTTTTTAGTATTCTTGGCTATAATGATATTTTAAGTGTGTAGTCCCTTTATGAGGTGATGTGCTTTTTTAAGCTTGGAGATTTAAACAAAAATGTGTCTAAGCAGCTGAACAGGTACAGACAGTTCTGAAATGGAAACACATCAATTGGCTGTGTGATTGGAAACCTTAGGGATGTTTTGGCAACTAGCTGGAATCAGCCAATTAATTTAAACTGACACTTAACGATTGAAAGCCAATTGAATTTAAATCTGATGGTTTTGACAACCTCGGACCAATGCTATTGTAAAAAAAAAAAAAAAAATTGATATGTCATCCAAGGTATATAAGGAGAGTTTTTTGAAAATCCGTATGGGAGTGAACTGCCACCTGAAAAATAAGCATCTAGCCCTCAAGAAATTGCTGAGCTCTCTAAGAAAGCACCATCTACTCAACTAGAAGCACCATAGTACTTTTATAAGAGTCCTGACAGAAGACTTCACAGAGAAAATGTCCCTGACAACTGGATCAGTGGAAGAAAGATGCTTATGACTGGAGAAACAGCAGAGAAGGCAGAGCATTCTAAAAGACACATTCTGTGTGGACTTTGAGAGGCAAAAGTTTAGTTTTTTTTATTACTTGGGCTATATAAGTGGAACTTGTTTATTGGAATAGCATAGGAGTAGAATTTTGTTCATTTAGGGAATAGTTAGAAGTTGGGGAAATTGTTCAGTTTGTTTATTTCTCTATTTTGTATCTAAGATTTGTACTTTAGTTAAGATGGCACCATGTGGGTGACATTGTAAACGTTTCACTGCACTTGAGAATATATGACAATAAAGGAAATTTAATTCTATTTTTCCAGAATCTACAGATTCTTGGGAAGTTAGTACCAGTGCATGCACAATCTTGGAGGTACCAATTTTAATATCCTAGGATGCATCCCAGGAGACTTCAGTCTTTAGCCCCATTAGTCTCCCTAGTGTAAGATCTCTCCAGTAACAGTTAATGTATTGACTTCCTCTCCTCATTTTTCTCCTTGATTAACAGCATTCCAAAAAAAATTGTCTTCCACTAAGAAGACTGCCAAGTATTTATTCAATTTGTCTGCTGTTTCGTAGCCTCATTCTTGAAGGTTAACTTGGCCTATTTGTTTTCATGTATTTAAAGGAGCTCTTGCTGTCCATGTTGATATTACTTGCAAGGTGACCCTCAAAATCTGACTTCTCCCTCATTTTTTTTTTGTCATCTTTGCTCATTTTTAAAACTTGCCTAATCCTCTGGTTTGCCATATTATATGCTTATTTTCTTTAAAATTGATGCTGTCTTTCTTTGGTTAACCATGGTTGGTTCATCCCCCTTCCTAGAAACCTCCTTTTGTCATGAGGGTATTTTTGTTCGTGTGAGCTATGAACTACTTTCTTAACATCTGCTGTTGCTCCACAATGGTCTTTGGACCAGAGGGTGTAATCTCAGAATAAAGGGTGGTACAGTTAAAGCAGAAATGAGGAATTTTCTGAGGGTAGTGAACCTTTTATCATAGGGGGCTAAATGAAGGGATTCTGAGTCCCCACCAACATTTGGAAGAGCAGACCACCCCATCCCTACAACCCTGCATTTTCAATGGCTAATCCACCTAACGGCACATCTTTGGACTGTAGGAGAAACCTGCGCAGATATGGGAGAATGTGTAAATTCCACACAGTCAGTCAGTCACCTCAGGGCAGAATTGAACCCAGGTCCCTAGTGCTGTGAGGCAGCAGTGCTAACCACAGAGCCATTGTGCCGCCCCCACGGAGAGCTTTTGAGACTTGGTTGCTAACTGTAGTCAAGGCTGAGATTGGCAGATTTTTAGTCAATAAGGAAATCAAGGGTTAAGGGTATAAGACAGGCAAATGGATTTGAGGACGTATGGCTGGTCCTGTAAGCTGTGTCGTGCAGTTTCCTGTGTTGACCAAATAAGGGAAGTTTTATGGTGGTCAGCTAGACATAACAGCACCAAATTGCCTTACATGGATTATAGTATGTTGCTGTTACAATTTGATGTGAACATTTGGGTGTTGTTTACCAGTAAATTCCATTGGTTGGGATTGAACATTGTGATCAGGTTTGGTCAATTAATTGGCTGAGTGCACGAGAAGTTTCTAGAAATTGAGCATGTTTTGGTTTACAAGCAGAACAAAGGATTTTGCAGAAGTGACCATTCAAGGTCACATTGAGAAACGTGTGTCCTGAAGTTATCTGCATAGAGACAAAGAACCACAAAGCAAGATCTACACTGAGTAAAGTTAGCTACTTCACTCAGATCGGAATCATATTTGTTTCAAGCCAAACTCATTGTGTTAAATGTGAATTAAGTTAAAGGGAAGTTAGATGAAGTAAGAAGTAAATGTTGCAATGATTGTATGTTTTATATTGAGTAGTGGTAGCTAAAAGGTTAAATAAAGAAGAGTCTAAGAGTTTAATTAAAGTCTGAGTTAACTCCTTTTGTCATACAAGGGAGGAACACCTGGGAGAAGGTTTGAGTAGTTGTTTTGGATAACAATATGGTTTATACATTTTACAATCCAAGATCACTTCTTGCGATTGTACTCATTGCATCTATCCTAACAATGCTCCCCCACCACCCTCTCCTACTTACCTGTCCTTTTGAAACATCACATACCCCTGAATATTTAGTTCCCAGCTTTGACCTGGTAACCATGTGTCTGAATGGCTATAAGATCATACCAATTAACCTGTACATGTGCCATTAATTCATTTATTTTGTTCTGAATAAAGTCAACCACAGTCTTACCAGACCATAGAGCTACTCTCTTTCAGACAGACAACTGGTGGTGCTTTAACCTGAGGGCCACTATGTCTCAGGTGAGGGCACGGGGAGAGTCCTTCATGGTAATCTCGGCCTGTGCAGGAATAGAATCCACACTGCAGGTGACACACTGCTGCTGGCCATCCAGCCAACTGACCCCTGTTTGGAATATTACATGCATTTAAGAACCAGTAATTTTGCCTATTTTTGTGTTTTCCCAGCACCCCCGTCCACTGATCCTATTCACTGCTGTTTTCCGTTCCTTCCCCCACACCAATTTTGAGCCACACATTTAACTCCTTGACTTTATTTACCTTATGCCATTTACCTGTGGCTCATATTGTTAACTTGAAAATTTTGCCTTCTAACTTAGCAGCTAACTGTTCAAATTATTTTAGTAGAACCTTTTTCCTAGTCCTACTAATGTTGTCAAGTTCAACATGGATGACAAAAACTATTTCCTTCCCCTTCTACTTCAAGATTTTCTGCAGTCCTAGGAGCTGTCCATTACCCTGGCACTGGGCAGGCAGCACACTTTAAGGACTCCTGTCTAGGCTGCAGAGAACAGTATTCAGCCCCTTAACTATACTCTTGCCTACCACTACTACATTCTTATTTTCTCCCGCCACTTGAATGGCTCCTATACTAAGGTTCACTCATCCTCCCTGGAGTGCCCACTCTCATATACAGAGCTTGCAAGAACATTAACTGTCGGACTATTGCAGGAGCTGAGGCTCAATTGCAACCTCGCTAGGTCCCCACACTTGGCTCACCTGCAGTCACAGCCTCCTGTCTCAAATTACAAACTAATTTTTCAGCTTGCCTGAGGATATAACTGTCCTCTGGAGAAAGGAACCCTTTCCTCATGTAATGTGATGAAGCTATAAACCAGCTACTTTGACCTCTATGCTGGAGATAATTCACTATTTGGAAAAACGAAGCTCAATTCACCACGTGTCAGCACAGTTTCATGAAGGGCAAGTCATACTTGACAAACTTGCTGGAGTTCTTTGAGGATGTAATCAGCAATGTAGATAATGAGAATCCAGTGGATGCGGTATATTGAGACTTCCAAAAGGCATTTGACAAGGCGCTGCATAAGAGACTAATCCAGAAGGCTAGATCCCACAGGGTTAAGGATAGAGTATTGGCTTGGATAGAGAGTTAAACAGGTCCTCCTCTGAGTGGCAAACTGTAACTAGCAGGGTGCCATGGGATTCAGTGCTTGGACCTCAACTCTTTACAATCTATATAAATGATATGCAAGCAGAGATGCAACATAGTTTAGTATCATCTGTGAATTTTGCTAAGTGGGAAAGCAGCCTACAATGAGGAGGTGAAGAAATTATAGGTTGATATTGATAGGCTAGGAGAATGGACTACAATCTGACACTTGGAGTTTAATGTCCCTTTTGGCAGCAAAATAAAAACATAAATTACTATTTAAATGGGAAGCAGATTCAAAGTGCATTTGGACATCTGTGCAGAATCACTTAAAGAGGGTATGCAGGTGTAGCATATAGTAAGAAAGGCAAATAGAATCTTGGCATTTATTGCAAAAGGACTGGATTATAAAAGTAAATAAGTGTTGTTACAATTATAGAAGGCATTGGTGAGACCACATCTAGAGTATTGTATCCAGTTTTGGTCTCCTTACATGAGGAAGGATGTGGTGACACTGGAGGCAGTTCAGAGGAGGTTCACCAGATTGATTCCAGGGATGAGAAGCAGTTGAACAGCTTGGGTTTGTACTTGCTGGAGTTCAGAAGAACAAGGGGGCATGATTGGGGTACATAAAATGCTAAAGGAATTGATAAGGCAATTGAACAGATCTTCACCCTTGTGGGACAGTCTCAAACAAGATGTCATAGACGTAGAGTGAGATGAAACTAAGATGAGGAGAAACTATTTCTCTCAGAGCATTGTGAATCTGCAGAACTCACTGTCCCAGAGTGCAGTAGAGGCAGAATCAATTGACAGATTCAAAAAAGAAACAAATAAGTTTCTGCTGAAAAGCAGGATAAAGGGCTATGGGAAGCTGGCAGGAAAGTGGAGTTAAACTGAGGTAACATCAGCCATGATCATGTTAAATGGCAGAGTGGGCCCAAAAGGCTGAATTGCTTACTCCCGCTCCTAATTCCTACATTTGCATCTCAGACTCCAGCTCCTTAACTTGGATCCAAATTTCATCAGGCTACAAACACTGATTAAGCTTCAAAATCTCCCCTCCCCCTACCGCATCCCAAAACCAGCCCAGCTTGTCCCCGCCTCCCTAACCTGACCTTCCACCCACCTATCCCCTCCTCCCACCTCAAGCCCCACCCCCATCTCCTACCTACTAACCTCATCCCTCCCCCTTAACCTGCCCGTCCTCCCTGGACTGACCTATCTCCTCCCTACCTCCCCACCTACACTCACCTTTACTGGCTCCATCCCCGCCTCTTTGACCTGTTGTCTCTTCTCCTCCTATCTTCTCCTCTATCCATCTTCTATCCACCTCCCCCTCTCTCCCTATTTATTTCGGAACCCCCTTCCCCTCCCCCATTTCTGAAGAAGGGTCTAGGCCCGAAACGTCAGCCTTCCTGCTCCTCTGATGCTGCTTGGCCTGCTGTGTTCATCCAGCTTTACACCTTGTTATCATGGATTACAGTGTGTTCGGTCTGGATCACCTCAGTGTCCAGCAACTTCCTGCCATTACTGTTGTATTTAATTTGATTTCTAAGTTAATGTAGATTCCCCGCTCTTTATGCTTTACTGCAATGATGTTTTGCTTTTATGAAAAAAAGACAGCATGAATCTTATACTTAACCAGCTATTCTTTTTAAAGAAACAAAAACACTGGAGACGTTTACACAGACTGAAGAACATACTTCTATTTTAAAAATGAGAAATGTTCACCCGTCCTACTCACAATCAGCTTCTTTCTCTACACCATGTCAAACTAGTTTTTGACATCAGTTTGCCACTGGTCACACTGCTTCTTGATCCCACTTACCTCTTACTCTGGAGATTTACTTCTTGCAGCAAAGCTTAGTTACAGCACCTTTCTCCATTTTGGACTGAATTCCCACTGGAACCAGATTTCCAGCAGTACACCAACTTAGCCCTTATTCTCCTTCTGCTGAACTCTTAGTGCTCCTTATTTGGTCAGCAGCTTGTCCGAGGTGAGCACCACCATTGTATGTTGGAGAAAAGTGAAGATTTTGTTTGAAGTGACCACAGCTGCCAGAATGTTACATTCTGTATAACTGAACACCATTAGACAGTATAGCGATTTGTTAGAATAATAGGGATGAGGAGATTCAGTTTTGGCAAGAGTGAAAAAGGCAGATTCTTCTCCTCAAAACTAAGAGTGACGCTCCCAAAATCAGATTTATAAAGGGTAACTTTCCAGAGGCCACAATTTAAAATGATTGGCGAAAGAACAAGAGGTGACTTAAGGATTTTCTTTTAGAAAGTCAGCTGTTCTATTCTGGTGTTTACTGTTTGATAGTGCGGTGGAAGTAGATTCATTAGTAACATTCAAAAGATATATTCGATAGATATTTGAACATTAAAAACTGCTCTTCTGGGAGGGAAGAGCAGCAGAGTAGGACTAATTGCACAGCTCCACTGAAGAATCCCATGGTCACTTCTTGTGACCTGAGGGCATTAAAGGGATGAGACAGAAACAATATCTAAATAGTATATCTTAAGGAAATTACAGAATATTGGAACTGGCAAGATGTAATGTGGAGTTGCAGAGAGTGCAAATTGATTGAAGGAATCAATTCTAAACTCAATGTGAAATCGGCCTCACTCCACAAATGATGAACTGTTCTGTGTTTCCAGCATTTTGTTTTTCTTTAATTAAGTAAATCTAAACAATGTATAAGAACAAACTCTAATTCAAAACAATTTTAATGAACAGCAACATACCAATGCATAGTTGAATCTTGTCATTGGGCAAAGTGTAACCCTAGATCAACAACCTACAATAAAATATTTACCATGTGTTGATCCAACTGCATAAAAATAGAATGAACCAAAGAAATGCACATTTACTCCAAGAACAACCTTTTTTCAGCATTTGTACTACGTTTAAACTGGCTACAGAGCAGTAGATCATTAACAACTAAGACACATTGTAATCAGGGCAACGTATGAAACACATTAAAAAAAAATTAGCAATGAACTAAATTAACCAATAATTGCGAAAGACTCAGGCATCTAATTCTCTAGCTACAGGGCTTTGCCATGTAAGGGGAAGGAGATCACGGTCAAAAGATACTCTTCCACTGCGGCAAGTACCCCATTGCTTATGTTAGCAATGCAAACACTAAGTTTGTAGGCATGTTTAGAATTCAAATTACATTATTTAAATTGAAGGATGATTAACTTGTGATTGCTGACATATTTGCCTCAGCTTGTAGTGCCTGTTTGTTAATAAGATTTTACTGCAAAAAGACATAGCTATTTTTTCTTCTGCACCACATTGACTGAACAATGGTAACTGCATCATCTTTACACGAAGCAAGTTCCTAGTTTATTAGGCTAAAGGGAAGTGTCAACCAGAAGGAGGCAAAATCAGTCAAGCCTCCCAAACTGCTATTATCCACTTTCCAGCAAAAAGCAACACTGGCCTTATTACCTGCCAATAATCAGACTTCTCCTGGGAAAGGTGGTAACTAGCTATGGTGTCAGTGCAAGCACTCATGGCTAAATCAGAAGGTTCAAGTTCCACTCCAGGACTCAAGCAATTAATTCGGGTGAACTGATACTGAGGAAGTCCTACTGTTAAAGAGTTATCTGTTAGATCAGACATGAAACTGTTTTCCCACCTTCTCTCACAGCTGGAGATAAAACCATTATGCCATTAGTTGAAAAGCTAGGTAGCTACTCAGTGTGTCCTTGCGAATACTTATCCCTCAATGAGCAACAAAAAGTAAATTATCTGGTCAATATCTCATTGCTGTTTGTGGATGTCTGTTTGGACCACCATATTGCCTACATTATAAGTGATTACTCAAAAATATTTACTTTGCTGTAAAATACGTTGGAATGCCCCTAGGACACAAAGTACTCTATTAAAACAAAAATTAGAACTGAATCAACAGAAGCACACAATGACGTGTTCTTTATGGATTAGTTTCCAATAACTATTAGGTTGTGTAGATTTTATGTAGTAAAGCTACAATGTCTTTTGCTTAATAAACTACTGTAAAAGTGTCAGTTTGGCACTCATTTAAGTTATGAGACATTATTTAAAAATCATTATTTTCTACACGTGTTTGTGGCATTTTAAAGATCTATGCACTTGAATCCTCATGTCACCTTGGACATCATTGTGATTAACTTTTGGTCTGAAATGGATACCCTCACATTTGCTTATATTGAACTTTATCTGTCACAGTTTTGCCCTCAAATCCATGGGCTTCTACCCTAGTTACCAGGCTCTTACATAGGACTTTATATGGACTTCCTGAAGGCATTTTATAAACAACATCCACAGACATTCCCCTATCCACTACCTCAGTCACATCTTAAAAGAAAAATTCAATGAGGTTGTCAGACAAGACCTACTTGTCATGAATCCATGCTGGCTGCATCTGACTACCTGAAATTTTGAGGTGTTCAGTTACCCACTCTATCTTTGGTTCCAGGCTCCAACAATTTTCCCACCACAGATGAACAGGAAAGATATGGGCAGTTTTCCAGTCCAGAGATTTGGTATGTAGGGAACTCAAAGATTATACTTAGGCCATCTACAATGTGCTCCCCTATTTCCTTTAATACCCTTGGATGTAACTGATGCCCTAAGCTCTAGAATGTAAGTATTTTAACACAATGAACTCTAAATGTAGGTGTGGATCAGTTGATACTGCATGTTGAACTAGTCTGAAGGAAAAAAGGTAGATTGAGCTGAAAACAAAGTAGTCCAAAATGAAAGGCACACGCAATTGAGCTCTCAAAACTTTAATGCAGCAAATGTTTTGCTAAATACTATGATGCTTTTTAGAAAGTTACAGAAAGAAATTAGTTTTTGTTTCAACTTTAGTTAACAAAAAGGCAGATAGTGAAAAATATCCTCTTTATACACATAGTCTTTGTACTAAAACTGTGACAGTTTATTCTGTCCAATACAACTGTCGGAGTCATTTTCTTTGACAAACATTTACCCTTGAAATCAAAATTCTATTTATTAATCTGAAAAGAATGAAGTACAGTAGTAGGTTATCTATTAAACTTTGGTATCTTCAGAAAAACAGAAGTATTGCACAGATAATGCTGTAAAACAATTCTGAATTACTATTAAGCTTCCATTTTAATCCAGCACCAATAGCAGTGCTTTTGTACAGAACAACCAAAATATTTTGTGAATCATGCTGTAGAGGTCTCTTAGAGCAGTGACTGCTATAACGTCTGCATGCTTCCTGTTATTTTGGCAGTTATCCAGTTTAAAAGTTGCTCAAAGCTAAATATTAGCCTACTGATTTTCTGTAGTGTTCCTGCCTGTTCTCATTAGCCATCCTTCCTCATTGGTATCTCTGTACACACCTCATTTCTAACCACTCAACAAACACGTTACCCTGCAAACTAAATTTGCCATGTTCTGTGCTAAGACTGCATATGTTCTGTTGATATTATTCTAACCCAAGAGAAGGTGGACCATTATGATAATGACTGGAGTTGTTCAGGGAGCAGCTTTCTCAAGGGCAACAGATGCTAACCCTACCAGCAACATTTACAACCAGTGAATGCATAAAATTAGTCAAATACTTAATAACCAACAATTCTTGTTAAATATGCCTTCAACAACTTGGATAATTATATGATTCCTCCCCTCCTCCACCAAGACTAAATAATGTGATCTCGACTGCCTCCCAACAGCAGAAGCTCTTTCAGATTATTGCTGGCAAAGTGAAGTTAACTATGACTAAACTGCAGACCGAAACACATTTGTTTTTGTTATATTTTACAACGTCTACATTAAGATGTCAACGACCCAGCCAAAAATGCATGTTCTTGGAATCGATATAAGGAATACTCCATTTTCCACCAACATTTTTACAGTTCAAAATCAACAAATATTTTGAAATGACATACACCACCACCAGACGCTACTGCAGTGAGGTTTTAAGACACTAGTACATGTATTATATTCCTCAGTTTGTTGAAAACCAATTCACTGACTTCACAAGGGCCAAATCCAATTCTTTCTTCACCTGACATCAGCACCAATGTATTTCACAAAGAGTTAATGATCAGACGCAGCAACCCTGAGAAACTTTATTCCCTAAACTAGGAGCTCCCTTAAGGTCTAAGTATTTAAACAGCCTCCACTACAGCACAGACTTGGAATTAAAACTGACTTTGCTCGGGACTATGTGGCTCAGCTATTCATTGAGGTAACTTGTGGAAAAGAGCACAGGAACAACTGTCACATGAAGTTATTATGTCTTAGGTCAAGGTCAAACAGCTGTTATGCTCTCAGATTTAATGCAGTTTGAGTGCTCTGCTTTTCCAACCAAATCTAATGGCAAACTGATTACAAAAGGAACATAGTCATTTATTCCATTACACATTCTGTTTTAACAAGAACATGGCAATTAGGCTGCTAAGCCAACCTCTCTCATTCAATTCTCTCATCCTCTCCTGGTAAATTACAGTGCCAGCACATAAATTAATTGGCTTTGTAGCAAATATGATCACCGCGAGTAGCAGTTGCATTTTTTGAGTTTAGAACAGGTTCATAAACTAAGCCATGGGCCCCCTCTTGAAAGAGTTGACGTCTTATAAACCTTGCTACCCAATCTGCTTTAGAAAAGGTGTTTGATTGTTTTGCCTCAGCAACTCTGCTTTCACTGCCTGGAGGCTGTTTCCAGAGGTGACGGATTTAAGATAATTGATAAAAGAAACAGGAAAGGAAGAAAATTTTCTTTATACTTGTTATAATCTAAAACACACTGCCTGAAGGAACAATGGAAGAGATTCAATAGTAACTTTCAAAAGGATTGAAGATATTGGATACCTGCAAATAAACATGTGCAGAGATGTGGGGAACTAACAGAAGAATGGCAGGTGTTAAATTTTTCAAAGTTGTCACTGAATCAATGGGCTGCAAGATTCCAATAATACCAAAATAGGCACAATATCATGAACACAAAAGCTGAATCTACAGGAATTCCTACTGTCATTGGCCACTGTAATTCAAATGTTTGCATAGAAACTGAACAAATGTTTAAAATTCTAGATATGCCATTTGACATTTTTAATATTACACAGAAAAATGCAGAAATTCAACACTTTGTAAGATTTTCAAAATCGGATGATATAGCAGGTCACTCCCAGCATTCTTACATTGGATCAAGATTTTTGAGTGCGATGAAGATAATTATTGATCGTGCAAGTATTTCCCTTTAATAAATTTGGAAAAAACAAAGCTGCTGTCTATTATTGAAAAGATCACTTGGTTATGCAGAAGCTTTAATTAATTAATGGCTGCCCAGTAAATCGTGTGCAGGTTTTTCTAAATCTACAGCTTCTCATCAAAGATCAGAAAAACAGGCGAGTTCCCTTTCACTCACCCACTCGAATCCTCTTGATTTTTCAACTTTTGCCATGCCCAAGTGAAACAATGCACCTGGATACAGAACACGAAAATCTCCCTTTTTATGGAAGGTTTATTCTTGAATAAAGTTTACAACATAGTCATTGGTCTTGTGATGATCTCATTACTAGGGAGCCGACAAAAAAAAAATCAAACAGCAAAGCTTTATTGCTGAATTGAATAGTAGCTACTGTGCATTTTTCCTTTGTACTTTATGCTGTCATTTTGCACTATGTGGAAATCTGGAATTGGAAAGTATTGTTTTTTTAAAAATTACATCTCAACTAACCCAGATCCTGCTAAAGTGGCTCTTTCTAGAGAGTGAGTAAGATTCAAAGTTGGACACAAATCTTCCACTGTGACAAACGGCAGTTTCTAATTATTTTAAGCAAACAATATTTATCTATTGTCATGTGCTATCTACCTCCAACAGGAGATACAGGGTTGCTGGTGTACCTATTAGCATTTTAGTACCAAAATGAGGATGTTAAGTAGTACTCTAGAACTGAAAAGCACAAACATGCTTCATATTAGCATGAGCAGAGCCTCTGGACCTCTTACAGCATTCATTATTAAAACTGTAATATCACAGATTTTTTAACTGTAATCATGTTTTAGTACAAAAGTTACAGTACAAAACTGTATTCAAAACCTGTAATAAGAGTACCACAAACAATAAACAAATTACAGTTAAAAAGCTATGTGAACTTAAGTTGTAATTTGATCACAGATATATGAGTATGTCAACATGATTGTCAAAGCAAAGAAAATGTTTTTCAGCATTTAAACTGTTTTCCATATTCTTTAACAAAAGTGGCTACTCCAAACAGTTTACACATCATCAAGTCATAAGAAAAAAAAACACAAGGTAATCACAGTAATTTGTGTTCTTTGGCCATACCAACTCACTAACTAAGTAAATCAGAGGTGAGCAAATCTTTCAAAGCGTTGCATTCCAATAATTCTGTCAGGTCTACAGAATCATCAATGTGTAAGCAGGGGGCTAAGAATTGAGTGCAACATTAAAACTGCGACAGGTCCTTGCATGAAGAAAGGGCCATTACGCTTGGTGCACTAATTAGAAACAGATTACCTCACTAAATTGGGACAAAATCAATTCCATTTATAACAACTGATCTACAAATGGCCACAAGGAAAGTCTAGGTTGCCAACAGCTCTACGTGCTACAACACAGAATGCTGGCAAGATAGCACACTTGAAATATAGCTCTTCAACTAAAAAAGGATGCAAGACAGTGATTTTTACACCTCTGCTTATTTGGGGTGCTTGACATTCACCTTTTGAAAACTGTGTCAATGCTCAATATAGGTGGAACATATTTTAGCATTTTAGCAGGACAATTCCCCCCAAACAGTTTGTTGCACAGTGGTTTGGTTAATTGTCAAGTCCCAAATGCTGGTTAAACATACAAATATAAAAACATGATACAGAAAAAAACATTACTATATATAAACTACCACTATTTAATCATATTGCATAGTTGATTACTTATATCGTGCAATTTTATAAGCTGTAAAGCACCATATTGGATCATTTTCCTCTGTGGCTGCTGAGAACTGTTTGCTACAAACTCCTAAATAAATTTCATGGCCTGTAACATTAGATATTTGAGATATGATATCATCTTACAAAGTGCTCACTCAGTGACTTGAATGAAAAGCAGGATATTTTAACATGTTACCTTGAAAATGCTCTCTGAACTGTCAATGTAAAAATATTTGTTATGATTTAAAACTAAAATGGGAAAACTGTGATATTGCCAATGTAAATCTATGAAAATGGGCTAATTCCACACATTGTACACCAAGATTAAAATGCACTTTCAGCACAAATGCATTAAATGCCCACAAAATGCAAAACTGCTCAATGAGAGGACTTCATTTTAACATTGCCAACAGAAATATCCAAATCAAACACTTGACACAATTTCTTTCATTCAACCACTACTTTGAGTTTTTAAATTATGAACTGCTATAATAATCATTGTGTATCAGCTTAAACCCTGGGTCATGTAAAAACAGAAAATAAATTCAATGTCCAGTGTTACCAAGTATTTACAATGGGGTGGAACAGAATCAAGGAAATGAAATAAATTTTTTGAGTAATAATAGTGCAATGACAATTCAAAATCAGTGGTGATTAAACTGCTACAAAGCATGATTAACATATTTAGCCACCATGTGTGAATGAATGCTGTTGTACTACCTTGGAAATATGAGCCAGAAACTTGAAAGAGCAGGAAATACATGCAGTTACAGCAATAAACAGTTCTGAGGGATTTGGCAAAACATCCCAAATCTAATTGCATTCGTATGAACTGTATCACTTCACAGCAATTATTAATATTCTGGGAAAGCTTGCCAAATCTCAAGACTCTGCTCATTCCTGGCCTTTAGTTGCTTCCTCAAGATAGTACACATTTACCAAGTGGCGGTTAAGGTGCTTGGTAAACTCTCCTTTCACACTGAATATGCGATCACAGAATATGCAAACAAAACTCTCTGGAGTATCCATCACATCTTTTTCTAGTGTTCTTTTGTTGGTCTTGTCATCAGGAATGGACTTTGCTCCGTTCAGGCCAGAGTCATCACTTCCTTCTGAATCTTCACTGATATCACTTCCTTCATGGCTGTGAATACCTTCATCTTCATCCATTTCTACCATCTCATACCTGTTCTGTTTTTTGTTCTGATCCTGCTTGCTATTCTGAACCTTATCACCACCAGAATGGAGCTTGTGCTGGTTAGCGTCACTATCCTGGACCTCATTAGCACTATCCTGGTGTTTATCGTGGTGAGCTGGAACATTAGCAAACTCTAACTTCTTCTGGTCAGACTGGACCACCAGCTGCCCACTAGCACTAGCCTGGACCACCAGCTGCTCACCGGCATTAGTCTGGACTGCCAGCTCATCACCGGCGCTAGCCTGGAACACAAGCTCATCACTGGCATTAGCCTGGACCGCCAGCTCATCACCGGTGCTAGCCTGGACCGCCAGATCATCACTGGCGCTAGCCTGGACTTCCAGTTCATCACCGGCACTAGCCTGGACTTCCAGCTCATCATCGGCGCTAGCCTGGACCTCCATCTTCTCAATGGCATTAGCCTGGACCTCCATCGGTTCAATGGCACTAGCCTGGACTGCCATTTGCACACTGGCACTAGCCTGGACTGCCATCTGTTTGCTGGCATTAATCTGGTCCTCCATCTGGTGACCAATGCAATTCTGGTCTTTATTTGGATTGTATGAGTTAGGAAATTCAATACTGAACACCTGAACAGCCCTTTCTCGTTCAAAATCAGAAACTAACCTGGATTCTTCACTCATCCCTTTCGACTCTGTATTGCACGCTTTGGCTGAGTTAGTTACATATTCTTTCTTCCCAGAACTATGAGAAGGAATCCAAATTTGTTCTGTGTTAGCTGCAGAAGGTTCTTCTACAGAAAGCAACTCACTTTTGTTCATCTTTTTAATAAACATTTGTTCCTCTGATTTAGAGTCAGTTAACTGATCAGGAGACATTTGGGGCTCTTTCGAGATTGTTGATAACATTTCACAGGTACTTTTTGCAGACTGCATATCATTTTGTTCAACAGCAGTATTCACTGAAATTTCAGTCATCAGAATATCCAACGTTGGTTCTGAATCTTGGGTATCTCTCTTATGCACATCTTCAGCACTAGGATTACTAAATGAAGAGCTTCTGGAGTTATCTCTTTTCTTTTTCAACAGATTTTGCTGATGTTCAGGCTGATCAGGTTTCTTACTCTTTCCTGAATCATCAGCAGAAATTATAGGAGTATTTTTATTTCTTTTGTGTTTCTTCTGACTTTGCTTGCATTTAAGATTTTTCTTATGCAAGGACTTTTCTAATTTGACTTTGCTTCTCTTTGAATCATGCTCAACACACTCTTTAGCTTTCCATACTTTCCTCTTTTTCACCTCTGTATAGGTCTCAACTGCAGACTTCTCCTGCAAAGACACATCTGTTGAGCAAACCTTTCTTTTGCTACCTTTTATTTTCCTGACCTTTTCTGCATTTGTTTCCCTTTTTTTCGATGGGACCTTGTTATCAGAAACTTTATGATTTCGTGTCTTCATCCTTTGAGTCTTTGAAGTGAAACCTTGCTCCTTTGACACAGATGCACTTTTTTCAGGCTTGGGAACAATCTTCTCCTCTGGATTTTCAGCTCTTTTAGGTTGCAGCTTGTCTGACATTTTTTTTCCCATTTTCGTAACAGGAATGTCTAACTCAACTCGCTTGGTGCGCAGCTTCACCTTTGATACATCCATGGTAATATCACTGCAGTGCGGATGCTTAGACTTTATGTGATACTGCAAGTTGCATTTTTTGGAAGCTGCATACTCACAGACAGGGCACAGAAACTGACGTGGATTCACATGGAGCTCAACGTGCTTTTTGAAGTTGCTGCGATCAGCTGTTTTGTATTCACAGTGAGGACAAGTTAAAGGTTTGGGTCCATTGTGAACTTGCCTGGCGTGCCGTGTCACTTCATGCTGGTTTGATGCTACGTAGTTGCATTGATCACATTTAAATGGCTTCTCACCTGTTGAAATACACCAATAGAAACATTTAGTTACTGGACGGTGCATTATAAAGTATTCACTGACCCTTCAGACAGTGTAACATGATTGTCAGTGAATTGGTCTGGAGACCCTATATTTAACTGAATTAAAATCTGAAACAACTAATTATTGTATTTCAATTTATGATCCTTGTATTTCACAGAGTGCATTTACTTTGAAGAGAGATCTAATGCTGTCACCAGTGACACAAGGGCACATGAAATTTCAACTTCTACTAATTTTACAATGAAGTCCTGGAATGATCTTAGAAATTTCTTAATTTTTTTTGCTATCTTATCCAAACATCCATTTACTGATCATTTACGTTACTGCTGTATTTCTAGGCTGTTAAGTAAATCCTTTTAATAGTGAAGTTAAAATTATTTTGAAGGTACTCATTCTAGGAATTCACTTCATCTGAAGCCACCCAAATCATTTTAATGTTTTAGGTCCCAGCACCATAACATCAACATAAACAAAGTATACAAAGGACAATTCAAAACTACAGATTCACAGATACTGAAAGAATATGAAAATTCACTGACATGATAATTCAAGATTAGGCACATCAACATACACTACATGGCCAAATACATACCAATAATATGCATATGCTACTTTCAGTAACCACTGAATTCGGTCATCATTATACTACCAAAATGAGTGAGGCAGTTTAAACATTATTTAGGATCTTTCGATAATATCAGATATAACTATGACGACAGTTGAGGCAACTTTCAAAATAGGGACTTCAAAATGTATTCAGTATTATAACATAATTTTTTTGCATTTGTTATAAAATGTAGTAAAAGTTATATTGATATATTTATTCTAAGTGGTCACATATCACTCAGATTTTCTTTAAAATTTATACAATATTTACAGGAAAATATATTGGACCTTTGCTGACATGGTACCTCATCCCCAAAGTGGTTAACACACAGCACAACAGAGTCATGATCTTGGGATACAGGTGGGCTGTGGATCAAGGGAGCTTCAGATTTTATAATGTGCCGATCATGTAGTGTATTCATAGTTAATAGCTAACAATTAACACAGGTTCTGGTTTCCTCTCAATCGCCTCTCCAGTAAGGTAGTTTAAGCACCTGGAATTGGATTGGATGTTCTGCATTGCAAAGCTGAAGAAAACTAACTTGTAATTGTCCAACCACTAGCAAAATGCAGCAGTTCAAAAGAACCAAGACTGGCCTTGTAATCACAGGAGATACAGCTTCAGGTCAAATGGATTTTCTCTCTGAATAGCAGGGATTCTAGCTAGCACATCATCTCTCCTCAGCCACAAAAAACCAAGCAACCTGTCCTCAAATGACAGGGCATCTTCTTGTGAAACAAAAAAGGGCAGGAAACAGGAAGCAGAATAGGCAACCTTCATTAAAGAGTTAAGACAGGTACAGGCATGATAGACTCAATGGACTCGTACCAAATTGTAGCTTTTACCATACTAAAAAATAAAGGCAAAGTACAAAAATCAGACTGAATAATGTAGGAACATATCATGCCAGATAACTTTGTTATTGTAAACTAAATATTAATACCTACCAATACTGACCATAAAGTAAAAACGTGCCATAACAGAATGGAATCAAAAGTCATCTGGTCCAGTGAAGGCATTGTAGGGAAATGGAAATCAACATATAATGAGTAGCAGCCTTACCACACCATTTAGAAAATAAACATGCAGTACAAAAGAAAACTGCTCACAAAAGCAATGATAACATTTCACCTGGCATAATTTTTCAACAGCTTAATGGGGATCTTACCCAAGAATTTCACATTTCACTATGAACTAAGAAATCCATACCAAAAATAAGGCAATCCACCTCAATGTGATGATGAGAAAGATACCTGTAATCTGAAAATGAAACTCATTTGTTGGGTTCAATAAAGTCAACCAAGTACGATTTGACTGGATTATCTTCAATAGCCTCGTGTCAGAACTTTCTCAACACATGAAAGTGCATTTGCATTTTCTTTGTAAATCATTTCATTTGATATTTGATCAAGCATTTGCATTTTGTGGAAGACAGAGACTCAGCAAACAACTCATTCCAATTACAATTTGTTTACAATGTCAGTCTAAATTGGAAAGTAAAACCATTACTGATCATACCAATTTTTGCTTGAAAGCAGTTGTTGAGCTTCCCCTTAAAGATAGATTTAACAACATGGGCTGAAGAACAGGATGTCAAACTGGTCAGATATGATGATGCAAGATCTTTAACATGCATGGAGAATTCTACCAGTCATAAATAAATTGAGTTTCCCGTAAGACCAGAATTCCCATATACTAAAATGGTTAGGCCATAGGTATTTTGAACCTTGAAGAATATACCACTTTGATTTATTTAGAAAATACTTTCAGTAATATTAATACACTTAATTTTTGGTAGCACTCAATTCCATGGAGCCCTAATGAGTTTTACTTGGATCCTCAGATGATTACTGAGTGTTAGTCGGAAAAATGTCAAGGTTTGAGTTGGTCATTTCATCCACACTCTTGTAATAGTTGATTTTAACTGACCTTAAGTTTCAGCTATTAAAGAATAGAAACTCAGGTCAACAGTTGCAAATCTAGACTATACAATCATTAACATCCACAAAACAAACAAAACTGCCTGGTTTGCAAAGTAAGTTGGGTTCAGAATTACAATGAATTTTGAGTTCAAATCTGCGACCTCTAAACAATGAGGTCTCATTCAAGTTGGAATACTGGAGGAGATGGTTTTCCTTAAATGTGAGAGAGAAATAGCAACAGAAGGGCAAAGGGCTGAAAGGGTGTAAATTCATACTTTCTGTCATGGTAATGAGAAGGGCTTCTCGCTACAGATGCTGCTAGACCTGCTGAGTTTCTCCAGTTATTTCTTTTTTAGTTTCAGATTTCTAGTACCTGCAGTTCCTTGTTCTATTACATTAGAAGGATTGTTCACTTAATGATAGGATCTGAAAACTAATAATCGGTCTTATAATCATTCTGTGGAGGAGCCGGTGTTGGACTGGAGTGGACAAGTCAGGAATCACACAACACCTGATTATAGTCCAACAGGTCTGGCGATTGTTGTGCGGTGTCCATTGATCCATTGTTGTAGCGTCTGCATGGTTTCACCAATATACCATTCCTCGGGGCATCCTTGCCTGCAGCGTATGAGACAGAGTATCTGCTGTGCACGTGGTGGGTGGTGTTCCCACGTGTGATGGTAGTGTCATTTCGAAAATCTGGCCTGTCTTGCATAGGTTGCCACAACAGGGCTGTACAGTGTTGTGGTCAATGTTGTCCCGAAGGCCCTCACAAATACTTCCCCCAGTACCCATACCCCTCCTACTCCCCCCACCCCACCATCCACACACACACACCCCTTTGGGGTGAATTTGTTGAAAAAGCACACAATTTATAGACAGTATGTCAATGTGGCATTTTATAAATTCCTACTTTAGAAATAAAACCAGTCTGACTCCAAACTAAAACACAAACAGATTCTGAACAAGGCCTCACACCTAACATGCATTGTCTGACCTAAAATGTCACCTCTTCTTTACACTGATAAAACTTTTAGTTCTCCCAGGACAGTGATTTCAAAGGAATTCAGGGATTTACATATACATATTAAACAATTAAAACCTCCTAATTGATTAAAGATTTAACAGCATCTTAGGTTTGTTTAGTACATCTTCATCAGTGGTGTGACCCTTTAATCTTTTACCGATCCGGACTCCAAAGATAGCAGAAGCAGTAATCCCTCAAATGGAATTTCACTGTTAACATCAGTGATCTACTCAATATCAGGCTTTAACTGATTACATCTACAACACTGAAGTCAAGTGAAATTACTTTGCTGTAGATGTTAGCCCTCACACAAGGCGAACCTGCTTTGCCACCATTGTTTGCTATAGTTGCATACATAAAGCTATCAGAAATCTCAGAATTCAGGTGCTTCAAAGTCAAAAGCAACTACTTTGCCTAACCAAAATAGAGACTAAATGCAGACTGGGCAACTGCTTGGCTGAACACCTCCACTCTCTCTCTGCAAAAACGACCCCAAGCTTCCAGTTGCCTGCCACTTCAATACATCATGTTCGATGCCAACATTTCTCTCAGGCCTATTGCAATAGCGAGGTTTAACACAAACTGGAGGAAAAACTTCCCACCTTTCATCCAGACACCTTACAGCCGTCAGGACTCAACACTGAGTTTAACAATTTCAGAATGTGGTGACTCTCTCTCTTGTTTGCTCCCTTCCCCCACACTCCTAGGTCCTGCACTGTACAGACTGCTCCCCGCACAGCCAATCCATTTTCAAACATTTACACTGCATGTTAGCATCCCACCTAACTATTATTCCTCTCCTAGTTCATCATCAGCAATCTTTCCATACCTATCCCTTTTTCACTCTTTCGGCACCATCTCCATGTACTCTATTCCTAGACCCACCCCCTGCCAAAACCCACCACCACATCAGCATAAATTCTGCCCTTCTGCAGCTTTCTTCAGTTCTAAGGGTCACTGGGTTCAAAATATTAACTCTGCTTTCTCTCTATAGATGCCGCCAGACCTTGTGTTCCTCCAGCTGTGTTTTTGTTTCAGATTTCCATCATCTGCAGTTCTGTGTGTTTACTTTGCCTAACCCTTTGTTAGATTTTTACATGAATGAAAGCAGCCTGAAGATCTGAAATTAAGTCCCAACTAAGGCCTCGATAGAGATCAGAACCGTCAACCTGTAGGTTATTGTTGAAATAGGAGGCAGTCACTCTAATGCCCTCTACTTCCAGCAGACACTTCGGGTCAGTTACTGATACATCCCAAGGTTCACCATCATTTTCACCATGGCAGTTTTGGGAAGCAGCTATCACACGGACAGGAAATGGACAAACTTTTCTGCCCTGGAGCCACATTCAAATGTACTGAATTTATGAGTGAATTTACGTAATTAGCTTCTGTCTCAGTCCAGAACATTTTCTGCGCTATTTTACACACGAGCCAGGTGCTGGGTGTCAACACCTCAAACATTATGTTTAATTTTCACGTTGGCATCGCTGGCAAGGTCAGCATTTTTGACCAACACTAACTGTCCTTTAGTTGGTACAGCCGAGTGGCTTGCCAAACAATTTCATATGGCAGTTAAAAACAAACTACATTGCTCTGGATCTGAATTCATATTTAGGTGAAACCGAATAAAAACAGATTTCCTTCCCAAAAAGACGCCAGCACGGAACATTTCAATTATTCTTTTGAATCATGAAAGGTCAAACAAAACTAAAAGAATACCATACTCTCAGTCTTTTGCAAACTAAGCAATAGAGCTGCTCCAGCAGCTGATTTCAATTTGATAACTGCCCAGACCACTAATGAGCTGCAATGTCATCTTTGAAAATCGAAATAGTTAACAACAGTTGTAGTTCAAAGCTATTCCAGGGTTCTCTCTTAAGTGAGCATCGTAGCCTTTTGAGCAAGATATTTTCTTAATTAACCTGTTCAGAGATGTTATCACACACCTCTAGAGCAAGTGGGACTTGAACCCAGGCTCCTGGCCCAAAAAATGTTTTAAAGCCTTTTGAGCAAAGGAATCGCCTTTTGTAGGCAACAGCTGTCAGTTGTTTAATCTTAATATCCCAGGTTTTTAACCTCAAAAATATGTTGCTTGAATTACACCTGTTTTACATTTATCACATCAGTGTATGCATTGGTGGGGTGCAAATTATACTTCATACAATGCTAAATTGCCCATGGTTGAAAAAGTTAATGAACTGAATCTTTCGTGGTCAGGACCAAGCAAGCTGGAAGGCATAAATTGGGATAAACACTGCAGCCCATGAATTCATTATTGCTCTTTTCAAAAGTTTCCAAATAATAATCTTTTTGGCAAACCTATATTAGTTGAAACGAACAACGAAGAGAAAGTAAAGAGTCTTTCCCTGTGATGAGCTCTGTGAAAACAGTTGACAAAAATATTGGAAGCAGAATTTAGTTATAGATCCTGAATGGAAGTGATAGCTTCTTGGGCATTGGCTGTGGGTAGATAATCTGTAGAATCACACAGCAATATAGTAGGCTGGGTCTGCTCCCCTGCTATAGTACTCACGAGAATCTTTTAAGTACTGGTGAGTGAATGAGGTTCAGAGATAACTACACAAATTATCCTGGCAATCAGTAGTTCTTTCAATCATTTGATGTTAGTTTTATTCCAGTTGCATTTGATGTTGAATAAATGAGGAGGAATTAACATTTTGCCATGTGTAAAAGACAACTAGGGGTGCTGCGAATCCCATATGATTTTTTTCCAAGAACTTGCAACTCATTTCCTTCCTTCTCAGCAAAGTTGCCACAGAAGTACTGACCTGTTAAAGTTTCACCATTGCTGGCTACACTTCTAGCAGCTTAATCAAGTTGCCATCCTTTTGTGTGAAAGTGTTAGCAGGTAATTCAACCAAGTGTCGGACAGCATGTCCAACCTGTCCTCATGTGCACTTCCAGTGAGGACCACAACAAATAGACACAGTTACAGGATGGTGTTTACCTTCTTGATATAAGGGCAGCAGGGGAGTAATAGCATTCCTGACACCAGCCAAGGTGGCATCAACTATCCCAAAGTCACAGGGATCAACTCTTGGATCTTTAGTTGCTCCCTGACTTTTGCAACTAAATCAACACATACGGATAATTAATACTTAAATGCTACTTTTTAAAACAAAGAAGGAAACTCAAAAAATTAAGTCTAAAAGAATGCTGAACTCAACAAGTGCAATAAAAAGCAGAAATAATACATCTTTAATTTAACCAAATTATTATCAACCTTTACTATGGAACTACACAGCCAGATGCCAACTGTTCAAATTTTCAGAGAGAAAAACATCAACATTTCCTGTCCTGATTGTGTAACTAAGTAATAAGCAACTCAGTGATGCATTCCAAATAAAAACTACAGTTGTGAAAGTACTTGGAAAAGTAACTGCATCCTTTTAAAACATACAAAAACAGAATTCGCATTAATGAACTTGTTTATGCATAAAACAGATCATTGAACACCATTATTTAACTTTATGGCTAAGAGTAAGGAGGCCAATTTCTGAATAAAATCAGTAAGTGTTGTTGACTCCCTTAATTGGCACATTTGCTCAATTATGTTAAAGAATAGATACATGCATATGATACAATAAATAAAATACATATTTTAAAAATAGTCATGTCTGTTGCTCAAAAGCACTGCAAAATGAAGCATAAGCCAGTAGGTCCAGGATTGGCTGTTCCCTTCTGAGCCACTTCAACTGGCCCAAGCATCACTCAGTTTATAGAGGGTAAAACAAAATCAACAACCTCATCAGAATCTAAACAAAAACCATATCAAAAGACAGAACAGGCCTCATCTAAAACAGCTTCTAAGGTTGAAATACACATTGTCAAGGATTACATTGAGTAAAGATATAAAAGTTTAATATCCATAAAAGTAATCACTGGGTAATACAACAACTGTATTAAAAATAACTTAGGAGTATAACTGAAACAATTGGTACAGCAAACTTTATTTTAACAGGCACCTTATCAATTGGCACTCTTGATAAACCTGCAAAGAAAAGCCTCAAATACCACAATGTCCGAGTGCTACCAATAAAGTATAACAGTGAAGTATATACCTGCTGCATTATGTTTCTATTACTTACTGTATGTTTGTACATTAACTTTAGATGGTTATTGACATTTTTACACAGGTTTTTTGAGGGATGTTGATGTCTTGAAGCTTCACTTGGTCAGGGTTTACTGCGGTTATGCATACCTCTTGATTATCTGGAATATTTGATTAAGTGGCACACTCCTAGTCCCATACATACCAGTAAATAAAACGTTTGCTGTACTAATTGCTCATTCTTAGCCCACGATGGTGTTGGTTAGTTTTTTTGTGTAAGATGTTGACAGCAACTTTGATAAAACTGAGTGGCTTTCTAGGCCCTTTCAAGGCAGTTAAGAGACAACCACACAGATGAGAGTCTAGAGAGAGATGAGCTCCATCAGACAACAATATCAGATTACCTTCCTAAATGGGCTTGAGTGAACCTGTTGCTCTTGGTAATTTTTACTGATACTAGTCTGAAGACTTTTTTTCAAAAATGAATTCAAATTCTGAAGCTGCTATGGCAGTATTTAAACCTCCTAGATGGGTAGCTCCTTTCACAAAGATACAATATCATGCATCCTTTCACATCACCTGGAATTATCACGAAACACAGTTCACTCACCACTAATTATACTAACCTGAATGCGTGCGCATGTGTCTGGTCAGATGAGTTTTCTGAGAACTTGAGTAAGGACACTGTGGACACTTATAAGGTTGTTCACCTGTAAAATAAGTGTACTGACATTAAAAGGAGAACTCCACTTAAAGAATTAAAAACTTCACACAGAACTACACAAAACATACCATGGAAACTTCAGCAACTGAACACTGAGGGTCTTGGCAATTTGTTTCTACTTGGCTTATATTTCTCACACGAGTTTGCTGTATAGGCCTCAAAGTTTGGAAAATGTGGTTTCTGCTGTGGCTGCCAATTTGTTGACTAAATACCAAATCAGAAAACCAAGATCATACCAACAATTTAGGGTAAATAAAAATGGACAATATGGGTTTAATGTTTATCAATATCCTTTCAAGGCTCCAATTCAGCCTTATGGAGATTTCAAAAACTAAGGCTGCCCTGCTTACACAAACAGAACCTTCTGAAGCAGGTATTGTTTCATCAGGATGACACAACGTTGCTTTGTGTGTCACATACCAACGAAGTTAGCTTGGCATCTCCAGATATGACAATTTAGGCTACCACATAGAATTTTAGAAGAGAACTTTGAAAACCATGATACAACTACAGACATATGCTACAAAACACAGCAAATTTTCACAACCTTTGGATCTCACAACAAGACTTCACAGCCGATGAAGAAGTTCAGCCACTTTTCTAAAATGGGACCACAGCAACTAATGTTCACATAGCAAGGTTCCAAAAACAGTAAAAACCTGATAATCTGTTTTTGCTGACGATACATTAAAGTATAAATATTGTCTAGAACAATAGGTAAATTCTTCTATTCTTCCCTGAAACTGTGCCATGGGTCCTGGTTAATAAAGCTCATTAGTGAACTTTACTCAAACCTTCTAAGTTAGTCTTCTAAACTTTTCATGCATACTCTACCAATGCTAAGTCATACTTAAATTTTCTGCAAAATCCATCAGCATAATCCAAACATAGAACAGGCAGTTCTTAAAGGCTTAGAGTGTCAAATTGGTTACATAACGAATGGTACCTTAAAGCGTTGTCAGAGTGTAAAGACATCAAAAACTGCTTCAAATTGACAAAAGGAGATTTTGGATTTTATTTTGAGGGGTTGGGGAATGCAATTAATTAGCACACGGCTCTGTCACAACATTTTTAATTCATTCATTTAAATTCCTCCACAGATAGAAAGGGCAATCGTGACTTTCTCACAAAGGACTGACTCAAGGTGAAGGCTACAAGAAAGAAAACTTTTAATTTGGACAGGGCAAACACAACTAGGGAATAAATAATAAACAGAAGATATGAGACAATTAGAAGAAGTGGGAGTCCTACAGGTGCAGACGGACTCAAAGGTAGTAGGACAGGTAAACAAGCCAATAAAGAAAGCATACTAAATGCTTTGCTTTATTGGATGAAGTGTAGCATACAAAAGCAGGGATGTGAGAACTGCATAATGCACTGGTTGGACCACAGCTGGAATTGTGGACAGCTTGCCGGGCACCACATGACAGGAAAGATATAATTCTCTATGATCAAGAAAAGCCAAGCAATTGCTAGCTTGAAGCACTGCTGCACCCACACCCATCACTAACATACTGTCCCTAAATTGCTTCATAGATTAGCTCTGACGGACATCTATAATTCGACTTAATTGCCTAAGTTATAAAACATCTAGATGCCTTGAATGCTCCTTCATAAAGGGCAAATCAGTCCACAGTAACTGCCTTCCAATAGCAGTGGAGGTGTACCTACACCAACTGGGCTGCAGTTCTTCAAGAGCAGCTCAGCAATGTTAGAACAAGATCCGAGACAAGGTACTTTTTTTTTATATAATGGGTAAACCACTTAAGACTGAGATGAGAAGAAATTTCTTCACCCAGAGAGTTGAGAGCCTGTGGAATTCACTACCACAGAAAGCGGTTGAGGCCAAAACATTGTGTGATTTCAATGAAGAGTTAGATAGAGCACCTGGCGTTAAAGGAAACAAAAGGTTAAGGGGAAGGGGGAAGAGGAGAAGCAGGAAGAAGCTATTGATTTAGATGATCAGCCATGATCATTATGAATGATGGAATAGGCTTGAAGGGCCAAATGACCTCCTCATGCTTCTATTTTCTGTCTCTATCACAGCTGTAGATGGGATATTCCAAAATGTTTTCTGTTCCCAACTGAAAAGGGATGAACTGGTTTCCCTTGTTTATTCATCCATTCCCTCAGCTGGTTGGAACAAAGTCAGTTTATAAAGGATGTTTTTCCATGTGGATATATTTCTCCCAGACTACGTGTTTTAAAAAGGAGCCAACTTAGCATGGTTTTCCCAAATTACCAAAGGTTGGGTTTACTAATTACTACATGCAAGAAGAAATACTAACAAAATGTATATACACACATTAGAAAAGAAGCAAGTTCTGAAATTTAAAAAATGTAAATATTGTTATACAGTTAGTTTCTGAAATGTAAGTGCAATAAGACAATGTTGCAGCCTTTATTAGGTTACATCAATAGCATTGACATTGGCAGTTCAACAATCGATTTTTGAGATTCTTGGTTTGTGGGCTGAGGTTCCTTTGCCCTGCATCCTTTTTAAAACTGGCTTGCAGCACTGAGTTAGAGAGTTCATTCCTTGTTTTACCTACAGTGCTGGCATGCTTACTGGCCATTCTTAAGATGTGACTTTCACAGGAGGCAGATAAATATGCTGTTAAATAAGATAAGGGCCCATGGATTTGGGGCAAGGTACTGGCATAGGTAGAGGACTAGCTGCCTGGAAAGGGCTGCGTGTGGGGTTAAGGGATATTTTTCAGGATGGCAGCCAGTGACTAGTGGAGTTCCACAGGAGTCAGTGTTGGGACCACAACTATTCACGTTACACATTAACAATCTGGATGAAGGAACTGGGAGCATTGTTACTAGGATTGCCAATGACACAAAGACAGGTGGAAGGCAGGTAGTATTGAGGAAGCAGGGAGGCTGCAGAAAGATTTGGACAGACTAGGAGAGTGGGCAAAGAGGTGGCAGCTGGAATACAATGTAGGGAAGCGTGAAGTTATGCACTTTGGCAGGAAGAATCAAGGCACAGACTATTTTCCAAATGGGGAAAGGCTTTGGAAATCTGAAGCACAGACACTTGGGAGTCCTAGTTCAGGATTCTCTTAAGGTTAACATGCATATTCAGTTGGCAGTTAGGAAAGCAAATACGATGTTAGCATTCATTTTGACAGGAATAGTATACAAGAGCAGGAATCTACTGCTAAGGCTGTACAAGGCAGTGGTCAGACTGCATTAGGATTATTGAGAGCAGTTTTGGGCCCTGTATCTAAGGAAGCTGGTGTTGCAGGGTTTCCAGAGGATGTTCACGAGAATGATTCCGGGATGAAGGACTTGTCATATGAGGTGTGGTTGAGGGTTCTGGGTCTGTACTCGATGGAGTTTTTTTTTTGGTTGGGGGAGTCTCGTTGAAAATCACAGGTTACTGAAAAGGCTTAGAGTGGACGTTGACAATATAGTTCCACATCAGGACAGAATAGGACCTGAGCACATAGCCTCAGACTTTAGGCACAACCTTTTAGAACAGAGATGAGGAGGAATTTCTTCAGCCATAGGGTGGTGAATGCTTTCATTCATTTCCACTGAAGGCTGCCAAGGCCAAGTTATTGAGTGCCTTTAAGACAAAGATGGGTAGGTTGTTGACTAGTAAGAGAATTAAAGGTTACTAGTAGACGGTGGGAGAATGGGGTTGAGAAACAGATCAGCCATGATCCAATGACAAAGCAGACTCAGTGGGCCAAAAGGCCTAATTCTGTTGCTATCTTTTATGGACTTACAGCAGTCTAATCAGACTTGTGATGAAACTCTGTCTCAAAATAAAATTTCAGAATTAAAAGTTAAAAACATCCACAGTACTTCAGGGTTCTATCCCATGGTCATGATATCACCACATTCTCAAGGATAATCAGCAACAAGCAATAAATATTCCTATTGTCACTGACAAGTCTTATTTTTTTGTAAAAAAAATTCTTGAGAGACATCTAGTTTATATAACACCATTCTGGTAATCACAATATAAATGAAAATTAAGTTGATGACTAATCAGAGTAATTTAACTAAATGAGTCATTACTTTAATGTTAACTATCACCTTATTGCTTTATTGTTCTACTTATTCTACGAAAGTAATGCTTAACTTTTTAACTGTAGTTCTCTTACTATTTTGTACCTAAGCTTTTTGTACCTAAGATGGTGCTGCGTGTGGTGAAATTGTACACCTTTCACCATACTCCCGTGCTTACGTATTTGAGTATGTGACAATAAGATCTAAACCTAAAACTAACAACTCCAAAATGCTTTTCTTTTCATTCATTGGAAATTGGTTTTGCAAGGTCAGTATTTAATTGCCAATGCCTCATTCACTGTCGGAAGGCGTTAGCTAGCTATCTTTTAAATCACTACACTCTGCGTTCTGACGTTTGCACCTAAGTTATTGTCATAGGAACTCCTTCAGTGATATTGTGGGACTGAAATGATTGGTTCCCAGCAAGCACAACAATCTTCCTTTCCCTTCCTTTGAATCAGTTAGAATGAAGGAACCACAATACACTTTCAAGTCAGCTTGGTGTATTATGCGGATGGGAACTTGCAGGAGGTAGTGTTTCAAAGTGCCTTCTGCCTAGGTGGTAGAGGTCACAGATTTGCTGTCAAAAGAACTTTGTTGAATCATTATTGTGCATTTGGTAAATGGTAAGCAGGGCAGTCACAGCACACCAGTCAGGGAAGGGATGCCAGCCAACCAGGCTGTTACATCTGGATGGCAAATTACTACAATGTTGTTGAAACTGCACTCAGGCAAGTGGAGATCATTCCATTACGCTCTTAACTCTCAAATATTAAAAAGGCTTTGAAGTTTTTGGAGGTGAGTTACTTATCACAAAATACCCATTCTCGGCTTCCTCTTGCAGCCTATACTTAGGTGGTTGGTTTAATTATATTTCTGGTCAATGGTACCCCAAATGATGTTAATAGTGGGGTATTCTTGATAATGATATAGAAAATCAAAACCTAGATAAGAAGAGGTTCCAGAGATAGTAGGAACTGCCGATGCTGGAGAATCTGAGATAACAAGGTGTAGAGCTGGATGAACACAGCAGGCCAAGCAGCATCTGAGGAGCAGGAAAGCT